ACTAGTAATTAGGGAAATGCAAATTAAAACCACTTTAAGATTTCATCTTACCACAGTAAGACTGATTAAGATCAAGAGAAAAAATGATACCAAATGTTGGAGAGGATGTGGGAAAAGGGGAATGTTCAAACTCCACTGCTGGTTGCACTGAAAACTTGTTCAAACCCTATGAAAACCAGTGTGAAGAACTCTTTAAAAACTACAAATGAACCTACTATTTGGCCCAGTTATACCACCCCTTGGCATATGCTCAAAGAACTCATCCTATTGCAGAGACATTTGTACATCCATGTTTCTTGCTGCTCTTTTCACAGTAGCTAAGAGATGGAGGCAACCTATGAGAAAATAACCTAAGAGATGGGGTTATTTTAAGGGGAGGGGGAGGGAAGGTTATACAAGGAACCTAGGGGATAAAGGGAAAGAAGGAGTTCAAGAGAGGTGGGACCATAGGAGAAGGGTATTAGTAAGGGAGAAATGGGAAAAATGGGGGCACCTTAAACAGGGAAATCATGGTGAAAGGGTTCGACAATGCAAGACATAAATAATGCCTAGCTAGTTTTGAAAAACCAGAGGGAACCTTACTAATGCAACAACCTACTGACAGCACATAAAACTAGATAAAGGAATATAATATCTGTCTAGGCAAGGTTTATCTGAAAATGTTCAGTCTTTGCCCAAGCTTTAGCTACATGGCACATGGTAATCAAAACTACCAAAATTGGTGGAATTAACCTTTTTGAACAGCCACAGTTTGAGACCTATAATAATTTGGTCAGAGGGACACAAAGGACAGTTTTTCCTCCTTGCCCTCCTAGATCGACTAAGTTCCAGGGAACTATGAGCATCTATCAAAATGTCCTGTAACTGTGGTGAGTCACCTGTCCTCTTGATCAAGGAGGCCAAGGAGACCCACCATATGGACTTGAACCAGTATCCAGTCTACAAAGAGGAGGGTCAACACAGAGGAAACATTTCTTCCATGCTTCCAAGGGAAGCCAGCCGTAGTCG